TGTCCGGCGAGCAGGCGGGACCTGTCTCTCCAGCAAACCCCAGCATGTCTCTTGCAGGCAGCCCGTTCTCGCACTGCTCTGCCCGTCACCTGGTGAACTTGGGCACGGACGGCACTGAGGCAGTGTGCTGGGCACCGTGGGGGGAGTGGGGAGTCACGGAGGAGGCTTAGAGAAACGCAAAGGGGGGCTTGCAGGGTCCTTGGCCTCCTTCGTGTACCTGTGGGAGGGTTGGGGCCGAATGCGTGGGTTGTGGGCAGGGGTGTGGATGGAAGTGCCCCGCACCCCTTCCGGACCTGGAGCTGAAACTACCTTCACACACATTCTCCCTTCCGCTCCCGGGTCAGCCACTGAGGCCCAGGGGTGGGGACGGAGGCACCAAAGACGGAAGAGGCCTGGCTGCCTTGAACTTGGAGGGGGCCCTGGCACCCAGACTGGGCTGTGATGGGAACAAGAAATAACCCGGGTTGCACTGAGCCGCTGAGACGTTGGGCTGGTCCGTTACAGCAGCTGGGAGCCGGTGCTCCTTATCCTGACTGACACGGGTGGGCACCCCAGACACGGGGACACCTTACATGTACAGCCAGGTCCCAGTGCCCGAGAGCACTCGCTGCTGGCCATGTGCGACCCTTGAAGCGTGATGCCGGCTGGCAGACGGGGGGGGGGGGGTGGGGAGGAGAGGGAGCCCAGAGCCACGGGGTCTGCAGGCAGCAGGTGAACGCGGCCTGGGAATACCGTGGAGTGACGGACGCTCAGGGATGAGCGGGGCTGCGGGGGTGCACGTGGAGAAGCCACTGCCCAGGAACACAGCCCTCGGGTGAGACGGGGGGTCAGAGGTCAGCGAGCGGTCCCCCGGGCCCAGGCAGGGGAGCACCTGGAGATGGAGACGCAGCGGGCACTGGACTCGCTGGCCCAGGAGAGCGATGCAGCCCGAGGTTGTAGACCCCTCCAGCGCAAGTCCGAAACCTTGCTGGTCCCAGGTCCCAAAGACCTCGCTGCCTTCGGGGCGGTCTCCAGAGCAGGCGTGCACAGCAGTTTATAGGGGATTGGTCGTCTCACTCCTTACACGGCTGTGTTTTAGTGTACAGGAAACTACTGAGGCTCAGAGAGGCTGAGTAACTCACCGGAGGTCACACAGCGACTAAGGGTGCTGGACTCCAGAGCCCAGTGGTGCTGTTCACACATGCTGGGTCCTGTGCAGGCAGCTGGGGGTTGGGTGGGAGCAGAGGCAAGTCCAGGTGGGGGGTGGCTGGGTAAGGGGAGGCTGCCATGGCAACCTGCCAGTGACTTGCTACGGGCAGTAGTTATGGAGCCTGCCCGTGCCTGCTCCCTGCACCGCCCCCCAGGAGGGGTCAAGCAGGCAACTTAGATGGGGCAGGCCTGGGGCCAACCGCCCAGGGCCTCTCCTCCCTCTCCAGGCTTGGTCAAGGTGTCGCCACCTTCTGGCAGGACCCGGAGCTGGAGGGGATGGTTCAGCGGCTGGGAGGTGAGGCGGGTGCGGAGAGGCGGGGGAAGAGTCCGGGTGTTGCTCTGACTCCGGGGGCAGTGGGCAGGGGTGTCAGCCCCTGCGCCACACACGCACAGCCGCCCCTCGTCCACGGCCAAGGGACGCCCTCGAGTCCTTGTGCTGGATCCGTGGCTTATGCATTATACCTCCACAGGGGCTATGCTCAGTTTTTAAAATAAAATTGTTTTAGGCCGGCGCCGCGGCTCACTAGGCTAATCCTCCGCCTAGCGGCGCCGGCACACCGGGTTCTAGTCCCGGTCGGGGCGCCGGATTCTGTCCCGGTTGCCCCTCTTCCAGGCCAGCCCTCTGCTGTGGCCAGGGAGTGCAGTGGAGGATGGCCCAAGTGCTTGGGCCCTGCACCCCATGGGAGACCAGGAAAAGCACCTGGCTCCTGCCATCAGATCAGTGCGGTGCGCCGGCCGCGGCGGCCATTGGAGGGTGAACCAACGGCAAAAGGAAGACCTTTTTCTCTGTCTCTCTCTCTCACTGTCCACTCTGCCTGTCCAAAAACAAACAAACAAACAACAAATAAAAAAACCGGTGTTCTGGTGTGGGCGCCGGCGCTGGCGCAAGTGGCGGCTCAACCCGCTGGGCACAACACCGGCTCCCGGGCTGCCCGTGTTTGTGGTGTGCAAATAGCAGGCTTCGCTTATTTTACTGCTGATGGACATCTGAGTTGTCCCTGCTGCTGGGAATCTTTCGTGTTTCTCTGCCCATCTGGGGGTTGCGTATCTTCATCTTCAACAACGCTGTTTCCACCACATTTTATTTATTTATTTATTTGAAAGGCAGGGGGACGGGCAGGTAGAAAGAGATCTTCCATCTGCTGGTTCACTCCCGCAAATGCCTGCAACAGTCAGGGCTGGGCCCGGCTGAAGTCAGGAGGCGGGAACGCCAGCCATCCGGGCTCCCACAGGGCTGGCAGGGACCCAGGCACTTGAGCCCTCACCTGCACCTCCCAGGATGCACCTCGGCAGGAAGCTGGAACGCAGAGGAGCCGCCGCCGGGACACAAGCCAGGCACTCCCAGATGGGACGTGGGCGTTGAGACAGCTCATCCGAAGGCCTCCCTCAGTCTTTCACAAGAAATCCTCCTGCTGTTTTGTTTTTGCTGTAATCGACTTTATTGGGATGCAATTAAATATAATAAGGGGCAACCCATTTGGAGTGCGCAGGACAATGACTTGATAAATACGCACAGCCACCATTTCCCTCTCCCCAGGAAGCGTCTCGCCCCCTCTGCATTTACCGTCCCCACCTCTGCGCCCCAGGCCACTGCCGCTTTGATTTCTATCACCTGTGCGGAATCCAGCAGGGCGGGCTTCGCGCACACACGTCTGAGTCGGCTGGCTGCCGTGGCCGCCCGGTCCATGGCCGACATTCTGTGGCCGTGTGGTGGTCTGGCTGTGCATGCACACGTAGGCTGTTTCCACTCCGGCCACCGTGGGTCCGGCTGCTGTGGTCACTCAGGTATAAGACTCTGTTTTTGTTCCTCTTGGGTAAATATTTGGGAGCCGCATGGTTGGGTCATACGCTAACCCCATGAGAAGCTGCCCGGCTGTTTGCCCAGGGGTTGAACCACTTCTCCCCCTCATCAGCGGTGGGGGAGAGGCCAGCGGCTCCCTCCCCTGCCCTGCCTCGCCAGCACGTAGCCCTGCTCATCTGGTCCACTTCAGCCATATCAGTGGGGCTGAAAGACAATCTTATTTAAATATTTATTTGAGAGAAAGAGTTACAGACAGAGAGAGAGGGAGAGACAGAGAGAGGTCTTCCAGCCACTGGTTCACTCCCCCAAATGGCCACAATAGCTGAAGCCAGGAGCCAGGCGCCTCTTCTGGGTCTCCCACGTGGGTGCAGGGGCCATGCACTCGGGCCATCTTCCACTGCTTCCCCACGTGCATTAGCAGGGAGCTGGATCAGAAGTGGAGCTGTCAGACTTGAACCCACGCCCGTATGGGATGCAGGCTCTGCAGACGGAGGCTTAACCTACTACGCCACAGCTCCGGTCCCAATATTCTCAGAGCTTTAAATTGCATTTCCCTGTGGACTCCCGGTGGCAGCATCCTCTGGTGTGCTTGTTGGCTGCTGGTGCATTTTTTGGGTGACTGCCCACTCAACTCCTCCTGGTTTGGGGACCCCCGTCATCTGCCCCGTAGCCTCTCTGTCTTGTTTTGGGGGTGCTGAACCAGTCCCTGACCTGGTCTCCCTCGCTCCATCCACTCCATCCAGCTTCCCGGCTCCCCTAAACTGCTCTCACACACCTCGCCTGTGGGCACCCTGCATTGCCCCTCCCCGCACCCCTCAGATGTCCCAGGATGCACCTGATGGGTCTGAGGCAAGCACACCCCCCTTAGGAATGCGCTGTAATTTGCATACTGAACGGGAATGTGCTTTTTCAAAGTGCACGTGGCCCCTCCTTGAAAACTCTAGTGCACTGGGGAGGGAGAGGGTGGGGGAGGGGGAGGCAGGTGGCCACCCCTCCCTTCACTGACACAGGACCCGGCCTGTGGCCTCGTGGTTAAGATGCTCACAGCCCACACCAGAGTGCCTGGCTTCCTCCTCCTGACCCCAGCTTCCCACCAATGCACACCCTGGGAGGCAGCAGCAATGCCCTTGGTGCCAGTCCCTGCCACCCCCGGGGGAGACCCGGCTGGACTTCCTGACTCCTGGTTCTGGTGTCCTGGCTGGGCTTTTCTTTGGAGGACCAAGGTCAGCTCCAGCCAGGATAGACAGGCCTGGGATGATGGGAGGGCCAGCACAGGTGTGGCCCCGACACCTGCCCTCCCCCACTCCAGAGGACTTGGCTGGGACCCTGGGTTGGCAGCTGGGCACCCTGGCGAGTGGAGCTGTAGAGGGACCTCAGGGTTGTGTCCAGGCGCCCAGAGTGGGGGGTCTGTGGGATGGCTTCTCTATAGCTCTGCACCCTCTCACCTGAACCATGACCCAGCAGGAGACCCCCATGCTAAGGACCTCATTCACTCTCTGCTCAACCACAGGAGTGAGTCCTTGGATTTTCTGTGCCAAGATTTCATAAACATTGGAGAGCCAGGCACTGCTCCAGGTCCTGATGTCTGTTGGCCTTGCAGACAAGGAACCTCCTGAGGCCTGAGCCGCCTGGGGGATAGGGGTGCTGGGTGCCAATCAGAGTCTGGGTATCTGAAGCCCCAGCAGGGTGCCGGAACAGCAGGACATTGGGGGCTCAGGAAAAGCCACGGTGTGGGGGGGTCTCCCCGACATCTCTGTCTACTCATCCGATCTCCTCCACTCCAGGCTGGTCCTCTTGCACTCCATCCCCGCTCCCCAGTGACCTCCCCACGTCTGCACATCCCCCGGCTCCTCCCGCGCCGGTCCCGGGGCAGCCGACCTGGAGCGTGCACCTGACGTGGGGCGGGTGGCTGTCGCGCGCCGCAGGAGGCGCCGGGACGTCCAGCACGGTGACCCGGAGGACCGGTGTCCCCAGCCGGCGCGTGACTCCGCCCCGGTCCGCCCCGCTCGCACTCCCCGCCTCCCCGGCGCCGCAGACACACACCCCGGTCCTGCGCCGCGTCCTGACCCGGCGCGCAGGGAGGCCATGGAGCCGGAGCAGGACGCGCGCTCCGCGGGCGGCGGGGCCGAGGGGCTGCTGAGCGAGCTGGAGGCGCGCGTCCAGGACGTGGTGAAGGCGAGCTCGTGGTGGGAGCGCCACGGCGTGGACTGCGCCATCCTCGCGCTCAGCCTCCTCGCCTTGCCGGCCGGTGAGAAACCCAGGCGCCGGCCGGTCTGGGCTGGGCTGCGGAAGGCGCTCTCGGGGTGGAGGGTCACACGTCCTCCAAACCCGCGAGTAGGATTTGAAGTGTGCAGCCTGGTGTCTCCCAAGGGAGCCGGGTGCTAAGGGAGAAAGCCTGGGATGCCACGGGTACTGGTTTCCCGGAGGGCTGGGGAGGGGTGAGGGGCTTGGGGAAGGGGGAGGATGCTCTTGGGGACACCAGGGAGGGGCGAGGGGAGTGGGGAGAGAAGGTGGGTTTTCTCTGGACCCCTTCTGCTATGGGATCCCCGACACTCCGGCCCCCACCCCTGCTCGAGGAAGGGAAGCCGAGGGTGCAAGCCGTCGGCTGCTGTGCTGTGTCCCACATCCCGCGGCAGAGCCAGCCCTTCCCCCAGCCACAGGGGGACCTGCCTCCCTCCTGCCGGTGCGGCCCCAGGGCTGGGTGTTTGGCACAGACCTCAGGAATCCTGAGAACGACCTCGTCCCCCTGTCCTGTCTCTGTGCAGGGTTCCTGTGCCTGCGCTCCGAGAACGCCCTGGTCTTTGCCTCCGGCATCACGATATTGGGTGTGTGCCACTACACGCTCACGGTCAAGGGCAGCCACCTGGCCACTCACGGTGCGCTCACCGAGTCCAAACGCTGGAGCAAGATCTGGGAGCTTTTCTTCGTGGAGGTGAGCCTGGGAGGAGAGGGTGGGTGGCTGCTGTGTGCAGGTGTGTACCGGCTGCAGCTGTTGGTGTGGAGTCGAGGGTGCCGTGTGCAGCGTGTGTGTGTGTGTGTGTGCGCACTTCTACCAGCCCTTGGGAAGGAGTTTGCAGCCGGTGGGGGAGACTTGATGAGCACGTCCAAGTGTCTCCCTGTGGCCATGCACTTGACCTGGGCCTCTCCTTTCTCCTGTGGGTGCCTTTTGGCTGCTCTGTAGCCCCGGGCAAAATGAGACCAGGGCTTTGTCCTCCTGCCAGGCTGACAGGTCCTGGGACGGGGTTGTCTTGGCTCACAACTACAACTGTTGGGGCTTCCAGGTGTTGCAATCAGGACTTAAAATGTGACTGGCAGAGAGAGGTGGGGGAGGGGAAAGGCCTGACGCCGCTCTTCCAATACCTGGCAGTGGCTGAGCCAAACTGAAGAGCCCTCTGCTCCCCCGACCCTGCTCCAGGAAGCCCCCCCCCTTCTCCCGCCCCCCCCCCCCGCCTCTGCTGCCTTCTCACCTGTTGGCAAGCGCAGGAAGGCAAAGGTTCCAGGCCAGGCTATCTTTGTCTCCTGACTCGTTTCCAAAGTCTCTGATCCGGTCCAGGGGCAGCCTCACCTGGCCACCCAGGCCACTTAGAGATGACAGGAGAGCTGGCAACAGAAATTGTCCTTTTCTGGCCAGTGAGCTCAGTTGTGAACTTCTTATAAAGTGATGCAACTTTATAAAACTGCAAGTCATTAAATGCACACGCACACGTCTTGTTCCCGGTCAGCCGAGCGGGGGAGACGCTTCCACCTTGCATCCCCAGCCCCTCTGTTCCCCTTCCCACCACCCTGCCCCCACGTGTCAGAAGTACAAGGACAACACCGGAATCAACACACTCCCGAGCCTCAGGGTCAGCTGTGAGACACTTTCCTTCCCAGGGATCCCCAGGTGTGGCTCCAGCCAGGTGCACGAGACCAGTGCCCACCACGTCTGTAACCCACGGAGGCAAGCAGGCGCCACACTGGGCGGCTTCAGGGGCAGTGTTGTAATCCCGGAACCTGAGGGCTGGGCTTAGCTCTGGATTTTTCAAAGCTGGACCGAGCGCCAGGAGCCTGGAGGCAGCGGAGGACGAGCAGGTATTGCGAATTCCGGACTAATCGGCCGCAAGAGGTTTAGGTACAGCGATGACCTCATGGCTTGCAAACTTGGGGTGCGGCTGAGCAAGGTGAAGCCCAGGATAAGGGGAGAAGAGGCCCACAGGTTCCCCGGGGGAGCTGATAGCCACTGGAGTGTGGGACTCTGGGCTGCATGGCCTGGGGCACCCAGGAGCCGCTCCGTGTGCAGAGCAAAGGTACAGCCAGCGTGGCCTCCTCCGAGAAGGCTTCCAGGACTCGCTGGCTGGAGAACTCAGCCAGAGCCCTGCAGGCCCAGGACGCCTCTGAGCTGGCTTTGGCTTGCTGCTCCCTGTCTTGTCTCTGTGCGCCCCAGAGCTTGGCCTCCTGGCCGCCTGTTTGTCTCTTTAGCTCTGGCTCTGGCTAGAGCGCTCGGGAGGTTTTCCATCGGTATTTGTCTACAATGACGGCGACGTTGACTTGGGGACCAAGTCCAGAGAAAAGCTGCCTGACGAAGGGCCACTTCCTGGGGGACCCTGCAATTGAGGAGGGAAAGTTGTGACCACACCTTGTGTTGTGACAGCCACCCCGTGTGCCGCAGTGAACTGTGGGAAGTGGCACAGCAGTGGGTCTGGGAGGACCTCTGGGCACAAGAGAAGTGACCTGGCACCCCCAGGCCGGCTAGCATTGGTGGGGGTAGTGTGGGCCTTGTGGGGGAGGCGGGTCTTGTGGGCTGGACGTGGGGATGGTGTCGGGGTCACACAGCCTTTGGGGCCTCATGCCTCGCTGCAATCCCAGCCTCGAACTGCCTTGACCTTGGGCTAGTTACTTAATTCATGTCTAAGTGTTAGTCTGATAAACAGGCGGTCATCATAGTCATGAACTGAGACAGCCCAGGCCTTGACCAAGGGCCGATCTGAGTCCTCCGCAGGGCATTAGCCCCGCCTCCAGCTTCCGGAAGGCGTCAGCACGTGGAGGTGGTAGTCTTATTTTGGTTAACTGGAATAGGACAGAGCTCAGCTGGGCTGTGCATGTGTGTGTGTGTGGGGTGCTGGGTCTGTCCCTCTGCTGGCCAGAGTCCCATCCGTCCTCGGTGGCTGCCCGGGGACCCTCCTCCTCCCTTCTAGAGTCTTCTCTCATGGGTCCTGCTGGGTGCCTTGCTCTCCCCAAACCTTGGCCCCCAGCCGACGTCCTCACCGCAGGGTCGCTGGGTTCTCAGGCCCAGGTGCCTCGGGCTGTCCTGTGGCCTCAGATGGCAGCTGAGTGTTGGCAGGGCCTCGCCCTCTCTGAGCCAGTGCAAGGGACGGGTGTGGGGGAGGCTCCCACTCTGGCAGGAGTCAGGCCTGCGCCCCCACCACCCTCGGCCATGCCGGGCCCGCAGGAGGAAGTTCCAGCCGCCCTGATGGCACCCCCAGCCCTTTCTCCAGCCCACAGACAATGCTGGCTTTGCTTGGTGAGGGCGCCTGCCCCTCCCCGTCCAGGGCATGTGTCCCTGGGACTGCCAGGAAGGGCAATATGCTTCGCTGGCCACCAGGCGGGGGTGGGGGTGTGCAGGTGTCTCCTGGGGCATGGGCAGGACTAACTCCTGAGGTCGGAGGGCGAGAGGGGCTCTCCTGCTTGTCAGCCCAGGATGCTCCCCTGCGTGGCCAGGGCCGGGCCGTGCCAGGCACAGAGCCCTGTGTTGTGGCACAGCTGCCAAACCTCCTTGTGAAGTGGGCTTTGTGCCGCAGGGAGGGGTCCCAGCTCCCAGCGGGGCCTCGGGGAGCTGTGCCTTGGGGGGGCCCACACCAGGGGACCAGGGGGCCCCCGCTGCTTCCTGCAGGTCCCAGCCCCGGCCGCCGTCTCTCTCTCTCTCTCTCTCTCTCTCTCTTCTCGCTGCTCCTCTCTGCTGTTCTCTGAGTGAGCTCAGCTATGATTTTTTCTTTTTTTAAACTTTAAAAGTGTATTCAGAGGGCGCGCTCAGATCTTCAGCACAAACCATATCTTTGTAATAGAAAGAAAGTTTTTAAAACAGAGCCACAGAACTGGCGAAACTAGGACAGAGAGGTCTGGTGGACCCCTCCCAGGTTTCCCCCAGTAAGCCCACTCAGTATCTGAAGCAAGGGAAGGACACAGTCCAGCACCGTGTGTGTGGATCCTGGCTGTTCCTCCCTGTGCTGCGGCGGGGACAAGCCTGATACACCAGCAAAGCAAGGGGTCTCGAGGTGGTTCCTGCCGAGGCAGAGGAGGGCTGGGGGCCGGGGAGGCCCCTGGAACAGCACTGGGCGGGCTGGTGTCGCACCGAGTCTGCGCAGTGTCACCTTGAGGGAGGACCTGGGGAGCAGCGGCAGAGACTTCTCTCCCACCCCAGCCCCTTGCCGGCTGTTTGCAGGCATCTGGGGGTGGGAACTCCCTGTCCATCTCTCTGCCTCTCGAATCAATCAAAGAAAAATGGGCAAAGACCCAAGGCTCAGAGTGGAGCAGGGAAAGAGACAGAGACCAAGGACGTGAGCCGAGGCTGCGGGCTGCAGTCCGCCCCTCACTGTGGGTTTGCTCAAGGTCATGGCTCCCTGGGAGGTCAAAGCTGTTATCACCCCCACTTGTAGATGAGCAAACCTGGACCCAGGGGGTCACGACTCTCTCGCTCAAGGCTGCCTGAGGGTGGACATGCGGGACAACTGGGATGCAAGCCCAGGGCAGCCCAGGACCCCGGCCCGCACAAGGGGACCAGGCCACTGGGACGGTGGGGTGGGGTGGTGGGGGGCTTGTGGCGAGGACACTGGGCCAGGTCTGGAGCCTGTGTGTGTGTGTGTGTGTGTGTGTGCAGTCGACAAGGGCCAAGGGTGCTGCTCAACACCCTACCACACACAGAACCACTCCCCAGCAAAAACAAACAAAAAGGCCCCCCCCCCCCCAGTGTCGGTGCTGCAGAGGCCTGGGGACCCTGGCGATCCTTTCGGGAGGAGAAGCTTCCAGCACTGGCAGGGCAGCTCCGAGGCAGGAGGGGGGTTTCAGACAAACGGACAGACAGGAAGCAGCGCAGGGCCCCTGGGCCCACAGAAACCTGGGGTCAGTAAATCTAGCAGACTCCCTGGAGGAAGGCAGCACGGAGACCCACGTGCCAGGCAGAGGGGCCGGGACTTTGTCCCACGGCCCGACAGTTGTCCAAGTCGGCCGCTTTCAAAGACGGCTTATTTTTTGCCTAGGTTTCAGGATCCCCGAGGGCCAGTGACAGGTGGCCCTCCCCTGGTCGGCCGCTGCCCCTTGTCCTCCTGGGAGCTGGCCCAGGTCATCGGTGTCTTCCGTGTCCTTCTCTCTTCTGCTTTATCTTAAACACACAGCACGTGACAGGATTAAAAAGCCACAGATATAAAATTCTGACACAATCAAAAAGTTGGGCGTTAATTAGGTCACTCTGCTGGATTGGAGGCGGGAGACAGCCAGCGGCTGCTAGGGGCCGGAGGAGGTTGCCCGGGTTGGGTCTGGGGGCGAGGAGGCAAAGGGAGGAGCCCAGTGCAATGGGCCGGCTTCCAGCTTGGGGCCGGAGCCACAGCAGGGCCACCCTGGAGACAGGCACAGGCGCAGGCGCAGAGGGCAGCAGGCCCGGGCAGGGTGGGAAAGAAGGGCTCGGGGACACCCAGGGGCAGTGTCCCTCAGGCGGGAAGGACTTGGACTGGAGCCTGCCCGACTCCCATTCCCAACTCTGGACCCTTTGGGGGATCCCCGGGGAAGGGGCGGGGCAGGGGGGCAGCGCTTCCCCAGCTGCCTTCAGAGTGGTGGGGGTCGCTGGGACTCTGGGCTGTGGTGATAGGTTTCTCAGACAGGATATAGGATGTCCAGATAAATCAACCAGGGCGGGAGTCTGGCTCAGGGGTTGATGCCGCTTGGGAAGCCCACTTCCTGCCACAGAATTCCTGGGTTTGAGTCCTGGCTCCACCTCCAATCCAGCTTCCTGCCTTTTTTTTTTTTTTTTAAAGATTTTATTTATTTGAAAGGTAGAGTTACAGAGAGAGAAAAGGAGAAAGGGAGATTTTCCATCCACTGGTTCACTCCCCAGTGGCCACAACGGCTGGGGATGGGCCAGGCTGAAGCCAGGAGCTTCCTCTGGGTCTCCCACGTGGGTGCAGGAGCCCAAACACCTGGGCCATTATCCGCTGCTTTTCCCACGTGCGTTAACAGGGAGCAGAATTGGAAGTGGAGCAGCCGGGACACGAACCCCTGCCCATGTGGGATGCGGCAGTGCAGGCGGGGGCTTCACCCGCTGCGCCACCGCGCGGGCCCTGGCAAACCTGTTCTCTACCTTTCTTCTCTGCTCTTGCCCCCGCTCCCGGCTCGCTTGCTGTAAGTGTCAGGAGTCTCGGGTGGCATCCGAGCCTTCCCATCCAGCTCCTGCCTCTGCCGCCACCTAAGCGTGTGCCCTGGGGTCACCTGGCTGCTTTCCCTCTCAGTTTTGGCCTCTGTGGGCTGCTAACGGGGACAGCACTGCCCCCTGGCTGTGGAAGTGGGTAAAGCACCCAGGCGGAGCCTGAGCCTGGTGCATAGCGAACGCTCAATGGAGCTGGCCCGTTGGCTCCACCAGGCTCGGGGACCGGTGCCCCCAGAAACAGCCTGGCAGCAGCTCCACTAAAATGAGCACAACCTTCTGGCCTGGGGGGTGCATGGGAAAGGGCTGGCATCTGCATGCTCATTTGCATCCTTTGCTCCTCTTTTGCATAGAGAATGACTGTTCTCCTTGTTGCGGGAGAATCTCTGAGGGGTCCCCCTTAGGGGGAAGGGAGCCCTCGGCCTCCACTCGTGGCAGCCTCACTCCACCCTGTGCAATTCAGATGGTCCCCCGCCCCCGGACCACTCCTGTGCCCCCTTTCCCGACTGCTACGGATTCCGACTGCAACATGGTATTGGGAGGTGCAGGTATGTGCAAGTTAAATGGCACAAAATTGCAACCCATGCCAGGAGCTTTATCCACAGTGCACCCTGTCTTGCCAGCCCCTGGGGCCCTCAGGGTTGCCTGGGTGGACAGTGGCACAGTGGCACTCTGGGGTCTGGCCTTCCACCCATGGTGGGTGCGGCTGTTTCTCCTGGCTGCTGCTGTGTGGTCACGGCTACCTGGGAGTTGACGGTCAAGGCTGATGATGGGGGTGCAGGGCAGGAAGGCGTCCCCGCGTCCTGCCGGGCTCAGCCGCCCCTGATGCCGCTCCCTCCGGGGCTCCTCCCCTAGGTGTGCACGTCTTTCACGGCAGAGTACGCCGAGTACGGCCACGTCAAGATGCACCATGGCTACACCAACGTGGTGGGTCTGGGCGACTCGAGCACCTGGAAGCTGCCTTGCCTCAATCGCTACGTCTACATGTTCTTGGCCCCCTTCTTGGTGCCCATCATGACCCCGCTGGTGGCTGTCGGTAAGCACGCGAGGGCCTGGGTCTGTACTTGCATTCGGGGTTGTCTGTCCGTGGGAGGGGCCGAGCTCTGGGGTGACTAACTTCTCTCCCACGATGCCCCAGAGCTGACTCCCTGCCGCCTGTCTTGCTGGGCGGTTCCCCGCGGGGGCTGGGCGGAGATGAAGGGTCACAGCCCACCTCGCTCCCGCTGACTCAGGTCTCTGCAGTCTCGTTTATTCTGGAAATTTCCTCCAGGTCACGACCTTGGTCGGGCTGTTTAATCTCTCCGATTCCTCACCTGCACCACGGCGCCCTCACCTTGCAGGGCGGCGGAGGCAGCCGGGGACTCACTCTGTGTCTCGTGCCCCCTGGCAGAGCGGCTCAGGAAGGCGGACCTGGGGGCGGCGCTGCGGACGCTGGCCCTCATCTCCCTGGGCCTCTACTCTCACTACTGGCTGCTCCGGCACGTGTCGGGCTTCCGGAGCCGCGGCTCGGCCCTGCTCTGCATGCTGCTCACCAGGTCCCTGCTGGCCCACCCCTACCTCCACGTCAACATCTTCCAGGTGAGGCCTCCGCGGCCTGGGCGCGGGCGGCTGGGCCATGTTCTCCACGGTGCCTGGGCAGGGGCCCGGCAGAGGCTGCCCCGACTCCCGGCTTCAGCCCGGACTTCGGGTTTCCAGCGGGGCTTTGCTTCTCCACGCTGGCTGGCCCTGATGCCCAGCCAGGGTCGATCCAGGCACCAGCCAGTGCCCTGAACAGGCAGAGGAAGGGGATGCAGGACTGGGGTGGGGATGGGGGCTTCGTGAAAGGCCGGGGGCTCAGCACGCAGTTCTGGTGCCATTTCCTGGGGGACACTTCCCTCGTCCCGACTGGGGAGGGCCCCAGGCTCCACCTCCCTGTGTGTCACCGTCCGGGCACTTAGCGCAGCTGTTTGGATAATGTAATCCCACGTCTGCCTCTCCTGTGCTAACGGGGGCTCCCGTCCACCTCTGAGTGCCCCAGAGCCAGGACAGTGCTGGCCAGGGCAGCGCCTCTCCATGCTTGTTCAATGGAAAAATACAAGAGGATGTGCCAACTTGACCTTGAATGAACAGAATTTTGGAGGAGGTCTGGTGGGATGAGGCAGTGTGGTGCTGTGAGTGTGGGCAGTCGCAGGTGCCAGAGCATCAGGGGGCCGAGGTGCCCAGTCCAGCCCAGCCCAGCCCGGCCCAGCCCAGAGATGGGGGAGGTCACGCAGGGCACACAGGGTTGGCACTGGAGCTGGTGCAGGAACCCGGCTCCCTACTCTCCCGGGTCCTGCCTTAGTAGGTTTGTGGGGGGCAGTCAGAAGAACCTCCCGGACCCCTGAGTGCTTGATGAGGAAGTCTGGAGCAGGGTGGGCTGGTCCCGGGCTGCCCGGCCCCGCCCCAGGGCGTGACCCTCCTGTCAATCACCCGCCTGTCCGTCACAGCACATCGGGCTGCCCATGTTCTCGCTGGACAAGAAGCCCCGGCGGATTCACATGATGAGCCTGGGGGTGCTGAACCTGCCCCGGCAGCCCGTGCTGGACTGGGCCTTCGGCCACTCGCTCATCAGCTGCCACGTGGAGCACCACCTATTCCCCAGGCTCTCTGACCACATGTGCCTGAAGGTAGGCGAGGGCTCGGGGTTGGGGGGCGGCTGGGACGAAGGGCAGCGTGGGTCACCCCCAGGGTCCACCTGAACCCCGCGTCCCCCAGCTGGCGGCTCCGAGGTCACCCAGGCGAAGCAGCAGGCGGGTTTCAGATCAGCAGGTGGGACTCTTGCTAGTGGTGAGCCCCGGCCAAGTTCAGGGATGCCTCTGATTCTGTAAAAGGGGAGAGCGCGGTGCTTGCAGCAGCCGGCTTTGAGGAGGAAATAAAGAGGCCTGAAGCGTTTGGCACACAGTAGGTGCCGCATAAAAGGGAGCCCTGGCTGCCATCCAGGTCACGGGGGACAAGACCAGCCAGAGCCGGGGCCGGGGTGGGCGGGGCCGAGGCAGCCCCCGCCCCCGCTCGTGGCTCCCTCTGCCCCTCACTTTCCTCCAGGTGAAGCCGGTGGTGTCTCAGTTTCTCCGCGACAAGCAGCTGCCCTACAACGAGGACTCCTACCTGTCTCGCTTCCGGTTATTTCTCAGTCGCTACGAGGAGTTCATGGTGCACGCCCCGCCCATCACGGAGCTAGTGGGGCTGCAGTGACGGCGGGGCCGGCGTGGCCGTGGCTCCCCTGCCCGCCCAGCCCCCGTCCTCCCGCTGCTGCTGGCCTGTGGGTGTGGAGGTGCACCTGCAGTGGGGGGCCCTAGGTGGCACTGGGGCAGGGGTGCTCGGCCTGGCATCCTGGCGGGTGCCTTGGTCGCATTTCTGGGCTTTGAGGGGTGTCTGGGGGAGAGGAGTGCTGGTGGCTGGGCGTTCTGGTCTGGACCTCAGCTGGCCTTATCTTAGGCGCCTATGTAGGACTAAGAGGAGGAGGGGTGGCAGGGGCACAGAGACAAGGGCCAGCCCCCTCCGCTGGGGCCTCGCTGGTTTCAGGAGAGCTGCACACTTGCTTGGCCACCGGTTCTTCCTGTGCCCCCTGAGGCCCTGAGCCCCACGGTGCCCTCTTCCCAGGGACCACAGGACGAGGTCCCTTTGGGCCACCTTCCCTAGTTTCTAGCCGGAGACACCCGTGCAAGACACAGGCCGGGTGTTCCATGGCCCACGGCTAGAAGCAAGTGCGCTTTGGGGGGGAACACTCCAGGGGACCGCGCTGGGGGACGTCACGAGAGCTCTGGGCGCGACCTTGGCTTTGAGCGGCTCTGAAGATTCTGCCTTGTTCCACGATGCTTGGAAGTAGTGAGCCTGGGGGCAGGCGAGGCTGGAGGGGTTATGGGACTGGGTCTGATGGAGTCCAGGGCTGGGCGTGGCTGTGGGAGGCGGGACCCAGATGTCAGGTGGCTGCTGAGGGGACACTGTCTGGGGGACACTGCTGGGATTCAGCCCAACGTGGGCAGAGTTGAGAGAGGTCCGGGGGCTGCACCAGCTGGGGCGGGTGCCAGGAGGTGTCCCGGTGGAGGCTGGACGCAGGGGTGGGGGACAGAGGAGGCGGCCAGAGCGCTTAGCTTAGGACAAGGTTTCTCCCCTTGGCACCGTGGGCATTTTGTCTGGATAATTCTTTGCAGTTGGGGGGCTGTCCTGCGCACTGTCCCTGGCAGCACTCCGGGCTTCCACTGCTAGCCACGTGGCCCCATGCCCTCGGTGGGGGCGGGGCCCAGCACTGTCTCTGGTCTGGAAGTTGCAAGTCATTTTCTGAGTGCATGGTCTCAGGTCCTGGGAAGGGGTGAAGGGCAGGCTAAGTCCCAGTGAACGGGCGCCCTCGGGGTGGGCGGGAGAGTCGGCTGGCCCAGCGTTCTCGGAGCCCGGGCCGGCCACGGTGGCCTGGCATGGGCAGCTGCCCTCTGCCCCTGGGGTCCTGCGCACTCCTCTCCACCCTGCCTTCCCCTCCGTGGTGGGGGGGCACCCCTGCAGCTCCAGCTCACACTCGCCCCCCAGTGGCCTGGGGTGTGCCCTTCACCTCTGAGCAATGGTCCTTTCGCCCACTTGGGTCCTGTCTGTGCCCTGCTGGGAGGGGAGTTCTGGATCCCCGTGGCCCTGCCGGAACGACGCAGGCCTGGCCGCCTCCCAGCCCGCTGCTTTCTCGAAGTGCACTAGCGGCTCCGAAAGGGCCGTGAGGTCTTGGAGCGCGATGCATCCATCTGCCGTCTCCCTGTGAAAATGCGGTGTCAGGAGAGGCCTGGTCCCGGCCAGTGGCTGAACCCACCCAGTCCCTTCCCCCAGGGACTCGCGGTGTTGATCTGGGCACGGCAGCCAGGGCGCCCCGGGAGCGGTCACTGGGTCGCGGTGAAGCTCGGTTTTCGGTTCCTCTGGGGACCTGAGAGGTGAGGGAGTGGCGGTGGAGCGAGGCGCGTGGGAGGCGACAGCAGCGGCAGGAACACGCGGGGTGGACGGTTTTCCGCGTGTCACGGACGGTGCCGGGGGTGGGGGAAGCGTGGACGCTGACTCAGAATGCACGCACTGGGCCAGCAGACACGCTGCCTGTGGGAGGGCGGCCCCACAGCCTTCTGGAGTCTGGTCCTCAGTGTCTGCGTCCCTCTCCCCTGGGAGAGCAGTCACCCTCCTGAATGTCTGCGGGTGCCAGGCCCTGTGTGAAGCCCCGGGGGAGGGTCGCGAGTGGCCGAGACCCGGCCCCCATCCTCGTGTTCATGCAGGGGCTGTCGCTCCTTCTCCCGAGGGCCAGGTAGGTGTGTGGGACTGTGTGGAGCAAGCTGTGCAGAAACAGCCACGGACGGGTGCAGACGAGCAAAACGTGTCACTGGAACAGTCTTCCAAAAACGCTTTGCCATTAGCGAATGTAAAACCCATCCTTACGGGTCGTGCGGCACAGGCCGGCGGGCGGTGCCGAGCCTGCCAGCCAGTCGGCCTGCTCCTGGTCCAGCGGGACGGCCACACAACCCCACGGCTTCTCAGAAGAGGGCCCAGCAGGCTCCTGGGATACCGGCCCCGGGCTCGCCCCTGATCCGGGAGCGGGCTCCACGGCCGCATCTGGGGTCACCCGCGCTGGACACTCACGGTGTGTGTATTCCACAGGCGAGCATGTAAACTGGTAAATAAAACATTACAAGAGGCCGTTGTTTTGTACTAAGTCCTCTCGCTGGGCCCCCACAGACCAGGCTGAAAAATCGCAACGAAGTCACCCTGGGAGTTCCACCTCCCCGAGCTGACACTAAGCCGCGTGTCTGACAGTGAGGCGCAGCCGGTTCCCTCAAAGGCCCGTGTCGATGGGCACAATAACGCTCCCTCTGCACTACTTAAAAAAATTATCTATCTGAAAGGCAGAGGGGCAAAGACATCTGTCCACGGCTCACTCCCCAGATGGCTGCAGTCCAGGAGCCTGAATCCCCGTGCGGGTCTCCCACGCAGGAGGCAGGGGCCCAAGCGTCGCGTCATCTTTCACTTCCTTCCCAGGCACGTTGCGGGGAGGGGAGCTGGCGCGGCAGTGGAGGTGCTGACACGGGACATGCGGGTGGCAGGCAGGGGCCCAAGCGCTGCCCTTGACCTCACCAACGTCACCTGCGGTTAACTAAGCAGCTGTGTTCCCGTGGCTTTGTCCCTGCCCTGCCATGAAACCGCCCATCACTTCTTTAAAAAAATGTTTATATTCATCTTTTAAAAAAATGTTTATGTTCATCTATTTGAAAGGAGACAGAGGGCGGGAGGGAGGGAGGGAGAGATCTTCCATCCAGCTGGTTCACTCCTCTATGCCTGCAATGGCCAGGGCTGGGCCAGGCTGGAGCCCCGCCTGAGAGAGGGGAGCAGCCCCCCGCCCCCGTCATGTATGACCGATAGCCAAGTCCTCTTCCTTTCTCTCTTCTCCCACTACTCAGACTTTTTCCCTTCTAAGCTCCAAGGGGGAAGGGGTCTCTAATCCTCACAGCCTCCCCCCCCCTCTTTAAAGATTTATTTATTTGAGAGGCAGAGTTAAAGAGAGAGGGACAGAGGGAGGGGTCTTCCATCCGCTGGTTCACTCCCCAAATTGCCTGCAACAGCCGGAGCTGCGCTGATCTGAAGCCAGGAGCTTCTTCCAGGTCTCCCACGTGGGTGCAGGGCCCAAGGACTTGGGCCATCGTCCACTGCTTTCCCAGGCCACAGCAGAGAGCTGGATCAGAAGTGGAGCAGCCGGGACTTGAACCTGCTGTGCCACAATGCCAGCCTAGGACCCTGCTGATGTCAAAGGACAAAACTACAGCAATTTAGCTTATTGGCTTTTTTTTTTTTTCTTTTGACAGGCAGAGTGGACAGTGAGAGAGACAGAGAGAAAGGTCTTCCTTTGCCGTTGGTTCACCCTCCAATGGCCACCGCGGCCGGTGCGCTGCGGCCGGTGCGCTGCGGCCGGTGCGCTGCGGCCGGTGCACTGCGCTGATCTGATGGCAGGAGCCAGGTACTTATCCTGGTCTCCCATGGGGTGTAGGGCCCAAGCACCTGGGCCATCCTCCACTGCCCTCCCGGGCCACAGCAGAGAGCTGGCCTGGAAGAGGGGCAACCGGGACAGAATCCGGCGCCCCGACCGGGACTAGAACCCAGTGTGCCAGCGCCGCAAGGCGGAGGATTAGCCTAGTGAGCCGCAGCGCCGGCGCTTCTCGGCCTTAATTGGCTGTATTTTCTATTCTGGAAGTTAGCAAAGCCCCATTCCACCCAACACCGCGCTGCGGAGGTTTGAGGCTGGCTTGAGGCAGGCGAGGGCTCACGACGGCAGAGGCACGAGGGGCAGGGCAGGCGGCGGGTCCGGCCTCCCCTCCGGCTTCCAGCGGATGCAGGCCCGCACTGGCCGCCACCCCCGAGGGACCCCCGCTGGCCCCGGCTCCCGCGTCCACTCGGGCCCGGTCCCCAGCCCCTGCGGGCATCGGGGAGCGAACCAGCGGACGGAAGACCTCCGCCTCTCTGCCTTTCCCAAAAGCAGATCATTTAGAGATTAGAAAGTTGCACTAAAACGCGCACTGTTTACCCTGGGGACCTGCACCCACGTGGGCGCTTCCCCCGATCCCGGCATTGCAGGAGGGTCGGGACCCGAGTAGGCCGCTCCTCCCGTCTCCCCGCCTTCGTAATGGGGGAAGAGGCGAGGCTGGACATACACGAAGCAGGGGCACACGCGCGAACACCTGTAGTGGAAGACAGGCCGCGAGCGCCCGCTGGGGCGCCTTCTCCGGACTTCCGGATTCTGCGGTAATTACCCAATGGGCGTGGAGGCGCGCTTGGAACCTGGCTCGTGATTGGCTGGGGCGAAATCGTCGCTCTCACAGAGGCAAGGCGCTTGCGCTATCAGTGGGCGACCGGAGCCTCTCCAGGGTGGGAGGAGCTCAGTAAAGCAAGCTCCTTTCTCATTGGCTTCCTCCCTGACTGAAACAGCGATGGGGATTCGCTCTTCCCCAGCTCTATGCTTCCGGGGCGGGTGATTGGGGGAAATATTCCGTCGCGTGTGGTCCGGCAGTCTTGAGGGGCGGGCTTTAACGATAGGGGGTGGATCCGGAGGGCGCAGTGAGGCCACAACACTGCTGTCTCAGCGCGTGGGAGGCGGGGCTTGGGGCGGGGCCTCGATGGTGGGCGGGGTTAAAGGCGGGGCAGGGGCGGGGTCTGGCCGGCGCCGAGCGCGGAGCGGTCCCGGGCTACAGATCCGGCCGCTGATTGCTGCTTCCAGCCATGGCTCTGCGCTGCTGGCGCTGGTGGCCACGGTCAGCGTGGCCTCGCACCCGGCTGCCTTTCGCAGGGAGCTCCCCGGGTAGGAGCAGGGCACCTCTGGGGTTCAGTGGGAGAGCGGGGAGGCCTGCAGGCGCCAGGTGTAGGGGTGGCCGCGGGGCTGGGGCGGGGTCCAGCCACGCGGGGGCTGGGGGCGGCGCACGGGGCAGGTGGGGTTCTGGGCCGTGAGGTGTGAGGCCTCTAGGGTGCGGCGGGAGTCGGCAGGTGAGGAGGAGAAACCGCGAGGTCCACAGGGGTGAGGAGGGGTGCCGGGGGCGACACGGAGCTCTGTGGGGTCCAGCCGGGGTCCACTGCGTTCTGTGGAGAGGGAGCGGTTAGGAGGGGACGGGGGCCGTGCACCGAGTCTCCGGAGGAATGTGGAATTCTAGCCGATTGGGTGGGGAGCCCCGAAGGAAAAACGAAGAGCTGGTGTGCAGGGCGGCTTTGGGGAGACGGGGTGGCCGGGCGGGCCGCTGTCGGCCTCGTGGTCATTGCGGGGGTGAGCAGTGCAGCCCCGCCTTGGGGGCTTCAGGGGGGCTAAGGGGCCCAGCCAATGCCCAGGGGGCAGGTGAAGCTCGGGACGTCCCCTGAGGTTGGTTTGGGGGTGGGGAGGGGGCGTGTTCGCTTGACCTCCCTCCCCTCGGCGGCCCAGGCTTCGGCCAGCGGTTCTCCACGCAGGAGACGACCCCCCAGATCTGTGTGGTGGGCAGTGGCCCAGCCGGCTTCTACACGGCCCAGCATCTGCTCAAGGTGAGCCCCTCCCCCTGCCCCTGCCACCTGCTGCTTCCGCCCCGCCCCCACTGAGGTTTAGGGCCACTCCTGGGTACCTGGTGAGGAGGGGGCTTCTGGCCGCTCTAGGCTGGATCCTCTCCTGCCTCCGGGGAGGGACCCTCGGCGCAGGTCCTCGCCGTGAGAGTGGGCAGTTCTGCGTGGCAGGTGGGCAGCGCTGCCTCCCGGACCGAGCCCTCCAGGGAGTGAAAGCAGAGCCGCTGGTGGCCGGGCCCTCCCTCGTGTTCCCTCTGTCTCCTCCGGCCCCGGCGCCCCCCCCCCCGGGGGGCCACTCACCGTTCTGCACATCGCTGTGCCCTCCCGAGCCCAGCTCCTCCCTTCCCCGTCATCCACGCCAAGGTCTCAGGGCTTTGCACTCTGGCCTTGGCGGGACGGCCCCAAGGCTGCGGGCTGTTTGTGCTTGGGCTGCACTCAGACCTTGGGATGGGGAGGGGCGGGGGGAGCCGGGCTGACGGCGCCGTGGGGGCGGTGGCCTAGCTTTGGGGGCCCTGGCGTGTCTGGAGAGAGGGTAACTATGCACCTGCTGGAAAGGCGGGGGCGCGGTCTGCTCAGGACACGGAGGGTCTCGGGGGGCAGAGGCGAGCTGGTCATCCCGCGGGGGGGGGGGGGGGCCTGTGCCTGCCTCCCAAACAACACGGCACAGCTGGCCACCGTGACGGGAGCAGCCGGGGCCCAGGCGGGTGGGCTCATCAGAAGCTGGGGCGGGGGCCAGGCTGCTGCCCTAGCAGTTGAGATACGAGTTGGGTGTCCCGTGTCCCACTTGGGTCCGGTGCCTGCCAGGCAGACCCTGAGCGAGAGTGGGTTCCCACCACCCACGTGGGAGCCCTGGGTTGAGGCCCTGGACCCAGGGCTGTTACAGGCATCTGGGGAATGAGGCAGCGAGGGGAAGCACTCATGTCCCCCCCCCCCCCCCCGGGGGAAGGGATGGAGGGCGCGAGGCAGTGAATTGGGAGCTGTTCTGGGGAAGGTGTGTGGCAGCACGGTGCTCCGGCGAGGGCGGCCCACGCTGTAGGGCGTCATCCTGGAAGGCCCGGCCACGGGTCGGCTGCCACGCGAGAGGACAGCCTGGGCTCCAGAGACCCAGCAAGCTCCCAGGGCCACTGCGTTAAGTGAGGTTGAAGCTTTGGGAGTGGGGAGAGTAGGCGGGATTCTCGGCAGCCCCTTTGTGAGCAGAGGCTCAGGCACTTGCACGTGCGGCGTGGGCTGGAGGTCCACACAGAGGCCACTAACGAGCTGACCCTATGGGGGCTCTGAGCGACTGTCCTTGCTCTTCAGACGGGGCTGTGTTTGGAGCCGTGGGGCTTAGCTCGGCTCAGGTGCGGGGTGCGGTCTCCCAGGGCCAGCACGTGACAAGCTGGAACACAGAGATCCCTCTTGCTGAAGGCCGTGTGAGGTGGTCCACGGTCTCACCACTGACCGGGGAGGCACTGGGACCTGGGCGTGGCCCGTCGCCGGCCCCCACTGGCCGTTCTCTGGCCGCTGCCACGCCCTGGGCATAGACGCGGCCCCAAGCGCGAGGGCCTCCGTCCTAGCGAGGGTCAGCGTGGGCTCCCAAGGTGGCCGGCTCCTCTGAGCAGCTGGAGGCGGGACAGTGCTCCGTGTTCATT